CCCTGCTACTTTGCCAAAATTTCAAGTCAGCTCGAGTAATTTGGGAGTGGAGTCCATGGGATTCTTTAAATACAAGATCATGTCATCTGTAAAGAGGGAGAGTTTTACTTCATGTTTCCCTATTTGGATCCCCTTTATGTTATGACTTTTATTTTTTAAATTTTACTGTAATTATAAAGGTGATGTATCGATAGATGAGTCAAGTAATGAATCCATTTCCCTTCCTTACAGTCTTCTGTTCCTTCTACTGCTTTTGCAGAACTCGAGATATAATGTGCTTAGAGTGATCAAGGAGGGGAAGCAATTGTCCTGCTTAATCTGTACCTGTTTAGCTTTCCATCAGCACATTTCTACCCTGTCCTGAACCAAAGGTCCAAAGCACAGAAGGTGTGGAAGACACATTGTTTTCAGATTTGAAGGAGGGGGAAGAACAGAAATCCTAGGGCTTTTCTTTTATGTTTTATCCTCTCCCACATTACCACAGTGGTTGCTCATAATGAACTCCTTTTTGTTGTTGTTGTTTTTTCTTTTTTTAAAAGCATTTTAAAATTAGGCTACACTATATAGTTATATAGAACAGGGTTTTGTTGCTACAGTTCCCCACATACTTATAGTAGATTCCAGCCAGTCTCTTCTTGGTGTTTTTCTTTTATTGTTGTTGTTGTTGTTTCCTTCTTTTTAACAAAGTCTTTGTTACATAAGTTAGGTAATGAGTAAATTTGTTTTTAAACACTCTTACCCTATCCCTCATTTTCTCCCACTTACCCCTCCCTTCTCCCTTCCTGCCTCAGTTTTAAGTTCATTTCCAACATAGTATCAAATGAGTATCAATGTTGCATTCATTCATCCTTCCTTCTACTGTTTCTGTGATTCCCTTTCCCTTCCACAGGTACAATAAACTTATATAAGACACAAGGTACAGACTTGGTGTTTTTCTTATTTGGTTCTCTTAGGCTTGATCTCAGACAGTGGAACTAGCAATTATGCTAGCTCACTGTTCTTAGTGGAGACCAAACAGGAAAACCATTCCTCTGTATTTGTAGATCACCCATAAAGTCTTAGATATGACACTTCTCAAACACCTCTTCCTACATGGGACTGTTTTGTCCCCTATATTTGTCATTTTTGTTCATGGCACCCCCAATATCCAATCACATAAGCCAAAGCTATGTCTTATCAAACCTGTGAGTTGGGTAGAGATGATAGAAAATATTAGGGAGCATAGCACAAAGTATATGTATTTTTTTTGCTTTGTGGAACTTCTCTCTCACACACACACGTACACGCACATTTATATTCACAAATGCTCATAGGTCAGGTTAGAATTTTTTGCATTACTGGTAATTAAACTCAGGGCCCTTGCCTCAGTAGGCAAGAACTATAGCATTTGAGCCATGCCTCCAGGATTTTCTTTTATTGCTTTTGTTTTTATTCAGATAGCATCTCATACTTTTGCCTGTAAAAGCCTCTGACCATGATTCTTCTAGGGCCAAGCTAGGTAGGAGGATCAAGGTTCAGGGCAAGCCCAAGCAAAAACATGAGACCCTATCACACAAAAAAACTAAAACAAGAAGGGCTAAGTATATGAGTCAAATGGTAGAGTGCCTGCCTAGCAAGCATAAGGTCCTTAGCTCAAACCCTCAAAATTAAAAATAGAATGTATATCAGAGAAAACATACACATTAGAAAACTGGAATAGTACATTTTGTGTATGCTGTGCAAATACTGTACCACTGAACTACCCCTTGCTTGTGATAGTATATTCTTAGATTAGGATTGATATATAGGATTTGATAGACACTTGCTAGAATAATTGTTTTTAAAAATTGGTTTCAATAGGGAGGGAAGGGATAGTGGGAAAACAAAAAAAAAAAGGTTTTAGTTGGGTGCTGGTGGCTCATACCTGTAATCCTAAGTACTCAGAAGGATGAAGATCAAGGTTCAAAGCCTGACGAAGTAGTTAAATCAGAGAGACTCTTAACCCTCATTACGCAGCAAAATGCCAGAACTGGAGCTGTGGCTCAAATAGTAGACTGCCACTTAGGATTGAAAAGGTCAAGAAAATATGAAGTCCTGAATTCAAGTCCTAGTACCAGTGCTTGCTCTCTCTCTCTCTCTCTTTCTCTCTCTCTCTCCCTCTTCCTTTCCCTCTCCCTCCCCACCTCTCTCACACAAACACACACACTTACTTGATCTATGCATATAAATGTTTTGATTGTGTAGATTCTAAATAGGCCAAAAGCCATTGATTATGGCAATGATTATGTTGTTATCTCCTGGGTTAGCCATGGTAAAATTTAAACCATAGTGCCATGCAGACTAGCTGTGTATGCCCATAAATATAGTTCAATAACAGAGAGAGAAGAAAGAGAGACAGAGAGACTTGAAACAAAAGTAACCAGCCCAGAAGACCATATGGACATAGTAACGTTGAGCAAAGAGAATTTATTGCCAGCTAGGCTGACAAGACCAGTTCTTTCATGGGAGAGAGGGAGAAATGGTACCTGTCTTTGTTCAGGGACATTTTTATACAGGGGACTAGGGGCGGGAAGTACTCTGCCTGCTGCTAGTGGACACTGAAAATAGCTCATAAGCAGGGCAGAATTCTGGTCTGGGTAGAGTGCAAGAGCCCCTGGGAGCAAGCATTCTCTTTTCTTTGTGAAGGGCAGGGTGGAGTTCATGTCTGGGCAGAGATCATTCCACTGATGCAGCTGGGGGAAGGCCTAGGATGGAGACTGTCAAGCCCAAAATGGAGGAGAACATACTAACATTACCCTCCCCACCTTTGTTGTTTAATAGGTACAGGTTCTGGGCCGGGAGTATGGGCAGAGGTCGTTTCTTCTGGAGCTACTTCCCGCTGTAAAGGGGTGAAGTGGGAGTCCCTGATTTGTTCCTAGGATACCCTCTTAGGAACATTTGGTTGACAGTCTGATTGGTGAAGATCCTCATCTTTCCCATAAGAATGTTTAGCAGGTACCTAGTAGGCAAGGCACAATTAGTAAAAGGCAAAAAATTGCTGTTAGCAGGCTCAAGAGAGACATAAACCAGGAAGTAATCCATCCAAATAGGTTCCATCCTCCCTTATCCTATTGAATCTTTTTTGTTGTTGTTGTTGGTCATGGGGCCTGAACACTGGGCCTGGGCGTTGTCCCTCAGCTCTTCACCTCAAGGCTAGCACTCTACCACTTGAGCCACAGTGCCACGTCTGGCTTTTTCTGCTTATGTGGTGCTGAGGAATCAAACCCAGGGCCTCATGCATGCAAGGCAAGCACTCTACCACTGACCCACCTTCCCAGCCCCTGTTGAATCTTTTTTGCAAGCTTTCTAAGATGTTTGATTTCCTCTAGGATGGTATAGCTGTTATCTGTCAGATTAAAACAGCACATGTCCTTTATCTCCTCACACCTCTACTGGTGTAGTAAGAGTAAATAATTGATGGCATCACAGTTGTCCAGAATGGCTTGTCTATGCTATTCTTGGTACAGTGCAATGGCAGAAGAGGTGTAGTTAATAGATTTTTACATTATACATGCCAGGCACATGACACCTTTATAGGCTCCGACTACCAATCCCAGTATCCCCACCAGAGAAAAAGTGAGGGCATAATATTCTGCTTCAGATAACAAGTGTAGCTCATCAACGCAGGATTCCTCCAATGTCTGTTGGGTCTGGTGAGGCCCAAAAATTTTCCTCTGGGGTAGTACAATGGCCAAATGACTTAAACAGCAATGAGAATTATGGGACAGACTGACACTGGATGTAAGTAAAGATCTTTTACAAGTGAAGAACCAGCCAGTTGGCAGGGAAATGTGGCTTATGTATCAAATGGGTTCATAATTAGCACAAGTTAAATCACCCCTTTTTATTTGCTTACATTTGTAAGTACAATTTTGAATTTGACCACAGATGGGTGTTTTCTGGGATTATAATCTGGGGGGGGTAATATAACATCATTGCCTCTGGGGCCTTTATATATGATGGTGTTCCCCAGCTATAAGAATCAGCATAAGTAAGGGTTTATTAATTTGGCTGGAGGAGAAAAGAGTTAAATTTTGTGTATCTAATTTGGGTTTGCATACTGGGAGTAAGCAAGACCCAAGCACATGTCCTAATTTTGATTCCTGTTTTAGACAAAAGTTAGAGCTGTTAGTAATTTGAGCTAGGAACAGCCAGATATTGTAATGCATGTGGTCCTGTAAAGATTCTGGGGAGGATCCTTCATGTTGTACTACATAAGTGCTTAAGGGAAGCAAGCAAAAAACTATAGTCCAGTACAGGAAAGAATTCACAGATATTGTAGGAAACTCCCTTGTAGAAATCACAAGAAGAGATAGAAGGAGATGGAGAGGATATGGTATCCCAGGCTCACCAATATCCAATGAGACCAGGGCTAGACTCGTGGAGACACCATTCTTAGAGCCACACCCAGGAAAGAAACTATACAATACTATTACTATACCAGAGTTGACCAAGGCTGTGACTGTTATGAAGATGGTACTTGTCTAGAGTGGGGTCTCTTGTGAACTGCATAGGTATTTCCACAGCCTCAGTTTTCTACTATAATGAGAGCTATAGTTGCCAGAGGAACTGGACACTCAAGCCACACTTCCAGCACAGGCTTTTTGCTGGTTAATTAAAGATGAAGTCTCTTGGACTTTCTTTACTAGAATGGCTCTAAATTATCAAGTGTCAGCCTGCTGAGTAGCTGGTAGTGCAAGCCACCAGCAGTGACTTTTTTGAAACATAATTTAGACAAACTTTGTGGTGGATATGTCCTTGAATTTTGAATAGTTCCCTTTTCTTTCCCCTCCTCCTTTGTGCCTTCTGTTTATTGGGAGAAAAACAAAACCTCCTGGTTATTTTCTTATTATGTTACAAAGTCAATAAGATTAAGAACTTCCATTTTAGCCTTGAGAACTGTTCCTAGCACCTACAGATGCATCGTTGAATTTTGCTGATTAATGTTAATAATACTCAAGGTCTGTGTTTTGTCCTTGCAGGTTGACCTGAAAGACTACATGTTCAGTGGGCTGAAGAATGAAACAGTAGGTCGTTTACCTGGAAAGGTGGCAGGACAACAATTTATCATTCAAGACTGTGAGAACTGTAAAATCTATATTTTTGATCACAGTGCTACAGTTACCATTGATGACTGTACTAGCTGTGTCATTTTTCTGGGGCCAGTGAAAACCAGTGTGTTTTTCCGGAATTGCAGAGATTGTAGGTGCCTGTTAGCCTGCCAACAATTTCGTGTGCGAGACTGCAGAAAGCTGGAAGTCTTTCTGTGCTGTGCTACTCAACCTATCATCGAGTCTTCCACAAACATCAAGTTTGGCTGTTTTCAGTGGTATTACCCTGAATTAGCTTTCCAGTTTAAAGATGCAGGGCTGAGTATCTTCAATAACACATGGAGTAACATTCATGACTTTACCCCTGTGGCAGGAGAGCTCAACTGGAGCCTTCTTCCAGAAAATGCCAAGATCCAGGACTTTGTTCCTGTCCCTACAACGGAAGAGTTCAAAGCTATTCGAGTTTCCACAGAAGCCAATAGAAGCATCGTTCCAATATCCCGGGGTCAGAGACAGAAGAACAGTGATGAATCATGTTTGGTGGTGTTATTTGCTGGGGATTATACTATTGCAAATGCCAGGAAATTAATTGATGAGGTAAGGAGAGAGAGGAGAGAAACAGATATGGAACTGACTAGAAACATGACATTCTAGAAAGCACTTATTCTTTGCAAATTGCCTGGTAGAAATATTTGTAACTCTCTGTCTCCTCACCCACAAGACTTATCTGGAAGCAGGATGCTTGGGCTTTAAAATACTTAACCAAAGAAGCCTTTGAAACATAGAATTCCATTCAGTAAGCATTTATTAACTAGCGGCTATGTGCAAGTTATTCTTAATATATTTCGGTGATGATGCATATTTGTTTCCCACATATTTGTGTGTGTGTGTGTGTGTGTGTGTGTGTGTGCGTGTGTGCGCGTGCTAGTCCTGGGACTTGAACACTGGGCCTAGATGGTGTCCCTTAGCTTTTTCTGCTCAAGGCTGGCATTCTACCACTTGAGTCACTGACCTATTTTCAGCTTTTTGCTGGATAAGTGGAGATAAAGGTCTAATAGAGTTGTCTGCCCCAGCTGGCTTTAAACCAGGATCATCAGACCTCAGCCTGCTGAGTAGCTAAGATTACAGGCCTGAGCAACCACTGCCCACCTTTGTTTACCTTGCAGATAGCTTATAATCAATTGCATCTTGGCAATAATGAAAAACAATATTGCTAGAAATAGAGACACATAGACAAAATTCTCTTCCCTTTAAGACTTTTCATTCTCTATAAGGAAGTATTTACAGAGGAGCTCACAACAACATCACTAGATAGTAAAGCACAGCTTTTTATAATAATTTACCAGAAAAATGTCTTTGGCATTTTAACTGCTTAAAGGATAGGAACTGAATGCAAGATACAGCTTTTGAAGAAGTTATGGCTGTGTGAGCATTGTCCCCACTAGGCAATTTACTTTCTATTTTCATGTTGCTGTGGACCAGAGATTGCAACAAAAGAATGAGTTAGTCAAGATGGGAAAAGTTATGTGGCTATGAGTAACAGCTCTTAGGGAGCACCAGTTCTCTGGGTAGCAACTTCTGCCTGAAAAATTATCCATCCTGGCTCCACGAGCATCAGTTCCTTTATAGGTGGGTGTTTTGGTCAGAGTCTGCAGTAGGACATCTTGGCTACTTATTAACCAGGATTTCTTCAGAAAAAAATCTTTTTAAAGTTAAAATCAAGCTCCCAGAAGTAGTAAATGGAAAACGTATCCAGTTCCTTTTCATGGGATTTAAATTTTATTTAGTTAGTTTATCTGTTTTTGCAGTATTAGGGGTTGAACACTTGTTAAATAAGTGCTATACCCCTTAAGCCACACTTCTTATTCATTTTTACTTATTTTTTGGCTAAGATCATATTTTTTGCTGTGGCTGGCCTGGGCTAAGAGCCTCCTATTTGTATGTCCTTCATAGCTAGGATGACAAGTACACACCACCATTGGTTGAAGTGGAAGTTCTGCTAACTTCTTGCCCTGGACGGCCTTGAAACTCAAATGTCTTGATCTCTGCCCCTCAAGTAGCTTGGATTATAGGTATGAGCCACCTTACCTGGCTTGAAGGGACTTTAAAAAAATTGGGCCAGGTGCTAGTGACTCACACCTGTAATCCTAGCTACTCAGGAGGATGAGATCTAAAGATTGTGGTTCAAAGCCAGCTCAAGCAGAAGAATCCATGAAACTCTTGTCTTTATTTAATAGCAAAAAGCCAGAAGTAGAGCTGTGGCTCAAGTGGTAGAGTGCTAGACTTGAGCAAAAAAGCCCAAAGACAGTGCCCAGGCAAAGAGTTCCAACCCTAGAACTCTGGCACACACACACACACACACACACACACACACACACACACACACACACACAGTTGGGACATCTTAAAGATTTGAGGAAAAAAACTAAAAATGGCTACATTTTTATAGCTATGCGTCTACCGTAGAGAAATCTCCACATCTGACATCTACAAAACAAAAATTAAAGACTTTGGGTATTTTCTTTTATGATTATGCCACTCTCATAATACCTTGCCATGAAAACTCTGGCAAAATATACAAAAATGAATTTCTGGCCCTTGAACTATATAATGAGACGATAGTTCAATAACTGAGAGATAAATATTTTCATTATACAGGGTAGGGAGCTTTTTTTTTGTTTTGTTTTTTGTTTTTTTTTTGGTCAGTCATGGAGCATGAACTCTGGGCTTGGGCGCTGTCCCTGAGCTCTTCAGCTCAAAGTGAGCGCTCTAGTAGTTAAGCCACAGTGTCACTTCTATTTCTGGTGGTTAATTGGAAATAGAGTCTCATGGACTTTCCTGTCAGGGCTGAACTGCAATCCTCAGATCTCAGCCTCATGTGTAGCTGGGATTAAGGCGTGAGCCACTAGTACCCAGCTGGGAGTTTTTCTTTTTAAATCTACATATTTTCAAAAAGATTTCAGGAGATTAAACTCTTTTCTGGTAGATAATTAAGAATGGACATAAAAATATTTAACATGGTTAATGAAAAAGAAGCATGAAGTCAGTTTCCCTTTATGGGCCATCAGACACTCTTCATTTGACCTTTGACATGTAATAGGTTAAAATAAACACCCCACAGCAATAATAGTAACAGTAAACACAATAGTGTCTACTATATGTCAGTCACTGTTATAAGAATTTAAATGTTGAAAACAACTCCATGATCTATGTGCCATTTGCAGAGAAAAAAATAACACAGAGAATAATTAGCTCATAAAGTGTTAGTAGGCTTGTAAACAGCAGAGTGCAGACTCATACCCAGGCAGGTCTTCTGTGTCCTCCTGTCTTGACCTTGAACATGGGGCCCTCATGCTGTCTTGATGATGAAGGAATAGCCAGAGAAGCCTGGTGGAAATGTGCTGTAAAACACACAGAGTCGTCAGGGCTTTTCAGCCCAGGGACTCTGGCTAAAGGTAGTCCTCTAATTCTGCAAGCACACAATTAAGGTGTAAAAAAAACTGGAGAGGCAAATGTTAGGCAAATGTGCAAGTATCAAAACATATGGAAAGATAAAAAGACATATCTAAAAGAGATTACATATTATTTGAAATGAAGTGTTAGTTTCCAGTGAAATATGTACAGAAACTAGCTAATTCGCAGATTGAAAAAAATAAAATTTGAGTTTCTCATATTATACCATCATAATGTTAAGTTTAGGACAGTTTTCAGGCCAAATGTGATTGCAAATTCTGGTTTGGTTAAATCCCATTTCACTTCTTTTTTTGGTGCTGTTTTTTGGGCTTGAACTCAGGGCCTTATACTCTTGTTTCTATTGTTTCTTTCATTCAAGGTTGGAACTCTACCACTTGAATTACATCTCTGGCTTTATGCTGGTAAATTGGAGATAAGAGTCACATGGGCTTTTCTTCTTGGGCTAAAATCTTCTTGGGCTAAAATCTTCAGATTTTAGGCTCTTACTGAGTAGCAGATTTCAGGTGTGAGCCATTGGCATCTGGGTTCATTTCACTTTTTATGTAAATTATCATATCATATTTTTTAGTAGAAAGTATAAAACTTGAGAGGGTAGAAACTCTAGAAATAGTGGTTAAAGCAAAAAGCGGATTTCATAGCGAGTTAAGAGAACTTACTAACTAGACATTTGGTTTTCTCACACCAAAGTCAGTTTTCTTATTTGCTCTTATATTTAGCACAGATGTATTCAGAATAGAGTAAAAGTAGCTTGAATTATTTGAGTATATTTCATAAATGAAGCTCATTAATTACCTGGGTCTTTAAAAGGAGGAACATTTTCATGAGAAGGACTCTTCAAATATGTAGGGCAAAATATTGAAGTAGATATTGTGTCATAGTTTGTGGTTTATTTTAGGTATTGTGAAGCAACCATAATTTTGTCATTTTGTGTATGTGAATAGCAAATAATGAGCTTTTCCCTATTTTCTCCTCCTGTCCCAGCCTATAAGTTACATAGTTTATTTTTTGACATAGTGTATATTGAATATCATGACTGCATTTGTTCCTCCTTCCTCCCTCCACTCTTGGTGTCCCCCTTTTGCCCATCTCTAAAAAGATTAACAAAAACAAACAACAACACCACCACCAACAAAAAACACCATGTTTCCATTTCCTGGAATTTATTTTGGTAAGTAATATTTTAGAAGTCCAGGTGAGTTATGCCTTTGAGTTCCTCCCCTAAGTATATCTTTCTTTAGTCTGTAATTGCATATGGCTCTGTATAAATTGTCATGACTAAGCCGGGCGCCGGTGGCTCACACCTGTAATCCTAGCTACTCAGGAGGCTGAGATCTGAGGATCGAGGTTCAAAAACAGCCCAGGCAGGAAAGTTCGTGAGACTCTTATCTCCAATAAACTGCTAGAACACCGGAAGTGGTTCTGTGGCTCAAGCGGTAGAGCGCTCGCCTTGAGCTGAAGAGCACAAGGACAGCGCCCAAGCCCAGAGTTCAAGCCCCAGGACAAAAAAAAAAACCAAACAAAAAATATTGTCATGACTAGGTGTGTTTTAGATCTAGCTTCCACATATGAAAGAAACCATGCACTGTTTATCCGCTGAGCTTGGTTTACCTCACTTACCATGATTTGTTCTAGGTCCACCCATTTCCCTGCAAATGACAAATATTATTCTTTCTAATAGATGAGTAAAATTCCATTGTGTATATGTATCACATATTTTTTGATCCACTCATCTATTGTAGGGCATCTGGGCTCTTTCCATAACTTGGCTATTGTGAATAGTGCAGCAATGAACATGGTAGTGCAAGTGTCTTTACTGTATCTTGGCTTGTGATGTTCTGGGTAGAGGCCTAAGAGTGATAAGGCTGGATCGTAGGGAAGTTGTACGTTAAGTTTTTTGAGGCAACTCCAAACCACAATTTACAGTGGTTGTACTAGTTTATATTCCCACCAACAGTACAATAGCATTCTTTTTTCCTGACATCTCTGGCAACATTTGTTATTGTTCAAATTCTTGATGTTGGCCAATCTAACTGGGGTAAGATGAGATCTCAATGTTGTTTTGATTTATGATTCTTTTATGACCAGGAATGCTAAACACTCCCTTATGTGTTTGCCATTCTAAATAAGAATAAATTTAAATTTTGTAGTCTGCAATCAGACTGAGTTGAAATCATAACTCTGTTACTTAATGATCACTCTGCCTTAAACATTTTATCTGTACAATGAGAGTAGTAATAGTACCTATCTTGTGTGAAAGGTACATTTACCACACATGATACATAGTAAATGCTCCATGAATGTGACCTATCATTGCTGTGCTGTACCATACAAATTTGTATTATGCTCTTCCCTTTATTGGTGCCAGCTTTGGGACTTGAACTCAGGGCCTGAGCAGTGTCCCTTAGCACTTTTTGCTCAACACTAGCATTCTACCACCTGAACCACAGCTTCTCTTCCATCTTTTTTGCTGGTTAATTGGAGTTGAGTCTCATGGACTTTTGTGCCCAAGCTAGCTTTGAGCCTTGACCCTCAGATCTCAACCTCTTGAGTAGGATTGTGATAGGCATGAGCCATGGGTGCCCAGTTTATATTGTGCCTTTTAAGATTTACATTATCAGCCTGGCACGGGTGGCTCAAGCCTCTATTCCTAGCTACTCAGAAAGGCTGAGACCTAGAGGATCGGAATTCAAAGCCATGCCAAGCAGAAAAGTCTCCCAGACTCCATCTCCAATTAACCAGCTAAATGTGGGACTAGAGGCCTGGCTCAAGATTAACATTATTATGTAATATTTTCCATTCTCTGTGACATCTGTTATTTTAATAAACTGTGATGAATATAATGAACTTAGTATTTCATCATGTAAATGTACCATCATTTATTTAATCATACTGGTATCATTAGACATTTACATTATCACCAAAATAAAGCTTCCATCTGGTTGTTTCATTGAAAACATTTGTTATGTGATAAATTAAGGAATAATTCACATTTATTTGATCTTTTTGAGACAAGGTCTTCCTATGTAGCCCAGGCAGGCCTGGAACTTGTGATCCTCCTGTCTTAGATTTGTGAATGCTAGGACTGTAGGCATATATGTATCACTATGCCCAGGTCTATTTGGCTCAAGCTGAGCAGGAAACACTGGTAGGGGGAGCGTTCTGGGGCTTGAACTCAGGGCCTGGGCCTATCCCTGAGCTTTTATGCTGAAAGCTTGTTCTCTACTACTTGAGCCACATCTCCACTTCTGGCAGTTTGGCACTTAATTGGATATAAGAATCTCATGCAGCCAGGCGCTGGTGGCTCATGCCTGTAATCCTAGCTACTCAGGAGGCTGAGATCTGAGGATCGTGGTTAAAGCCAGCCCGGGCAGGAAAGTCTGTGAGACTCTTGTCTCCAATAAACCACTTGAAAACGCTGGCGCTGTGGCTCAAGTGATAGAACGCTCGCCTTGAGCTGAAGAGTGCAGGGTCAGCGCCCAAGCCCCATGACTGACCAAAAAAAAAAAAAAAAAAGAAGAAGAAGAATCTCATGATTTTCCTGAGTAGGCTGGCTTTGAACTGCAATCTTCAGATCTCATCCTCCTAAGTAGCTTAGCTAGGATTATGGGCATGAGTCACCATTGCACAGCCTTATGGAACTAATTCTTAACCAGAAGCACCCAACTCGAAGAATTTTGTGTTTGTGAGAATGTGTTACAGTCAATGACCTGAATTAGAATCAGAGCTAAATAAAACTCAGAGTGCTATGTTGAATTTTGTACAGAAAAGTGATTAGCAGGAGTCTTCCTATTGCTTTTGTTGCTCATTTTGAAATCTCAATGAAATTTTATTTTCTACAGATGGTTGGTAAAGGCTTTTCCCTAGTTCAAACAAAGGAAGTGACTATGAAGCCTGAGGATGCTCAAAGGGTTTTTCAAGAGAAAGCTTCTGATTTCCTCCCTCTTCTGAACAAAGGTACCTTCTGGGTGATTGGTTTACTTCTATGGTTATTTCTCAATTAAATTCTATCTTTACTATTTCTTTATATCATTTGTTCCATTACTGGTTAAAATGTCAAATTTTCACATCATTCAAGAAGCCATATAGAACCATCTAGAAATTAGGCCTTAATTATTTTCCTGTTCTATATTCTAGAAGTCACCTGCCATTATTATGTGTTCTATTAGTTTTGATTCTTTTTAATTTTATGTCATTCCCAAGGTTTGAACTCAGCGCCTGGATGTTGTCCCTGAGCTTTTTCTGGTCAAGGCTGGCACTCTACCACTTATGCCACAGCTCCATTTTGGGATTTTTGTTGGCTAATTGGAGATAAGAATCTCAAAGACTTTCCTGACCAGGCTGGCATTAACTTTAATACTCAGGTAGATCTCAGCCTCCTGAGTAACTAGGATTATAGGCGTGATCAACCAGATTGGTTTATGCAGAATAATAAGCAGGCTTTTGAATAGATACCCTAGCAGGAGTTGGTCCTTGTCTGAAGGTAGCTATCACTCATTTTAAGGCAGAATTTCTCAATCATGACACGACTGACTTTTTAAGTCAGATAATTTGTTGTTATGGGTGCACTTGAGAATGTTGGATAGCATTTCTGACCAGTTGCTCCACTGGTAGTTTCCAGTTATTGCCAGGCATTTCCTACAGGGCAAAATTACTCCCAGTTGCAAACGATGTTCTAAGAGTGGACTTAACTTTTTGAAAAATTCACTTTTTTTTATTGTGAAAATACTGTACAGAGGGGTTACAATTACATGGGCAAGGTAATGAATACATTTCTTTTTTTTTTCTTTTTTTCTTTTTTTTTTTTTGGGTCCAGTCGTGGGGCCTGAACTCTGGGTCTGGGTGCTGTCCCTCAGCTCTTCAGCTCAAGGCTAGCACTCCACCACTTGTGCCACAGTGCCACTTCCGGCTTTTTTCTTTTTGCTTATGTGGTGCTGAGGAATGGAACCCAGGGCCTCATGCATGCAAGGCAATCGCTCTACCACTGAGCCACCTCCCCAGCCCCAATGAGTATATTTCTTATCAAGCATTGTTGCTTCCTCCTTTGTTTCCCCTTCCCATCCCTTCCCATCTCCTGCCTCCCCTCCTTCTCCCCCCCCCCCCCCCCCCCCCCCCCGGCCAAAGTTGTAAAGTTCGTTTTTTGACATAATGACTTGTACATCTCATTGTTGCAATAGGTCCACCTGTATCCCTATTTAAACAATTTGTTTTTTCCCTTCTATTAAGTGAAATAAGCCAGGACCAAAGAAACATAAGTCCCATGGTTTCCCTTATTTGCAATAACTAGTATATGTCTGAGACAAGCAGAAAAGGTCAGATAAGTTGATGTTAGGTGAAATGAACCCCAAGATAAGGATTCAAATGGTTTTTTCTTTCTTGCTATTGTTTCTAACTTATTTATAAAATTTCACTTTTATCACAGCTTGCACCTGACTTTCTAAATGTTTCCTCTAAGGTAAACTAGTCAAAGTTATTTACTTTTTCTTAATGAAGCCAGTGGATTGCTTAGTAAGAGAACCCATTCCAAACCTGACTGACTAGTTCATCTAGGGTGCTTCTTAAGCATAAATTTCTAAGACCTCTCCTCAAAAGAATGGTTCAAAAAGTGTTATGATTGCTGGATACCAGTGGCTTATGTTTGTAATCCTAGTTACTCAGGAGGCCGAGATCTGAGGATAACAGTTTGAAGCCAGCATAAGCAAGAAAGCCCATGAAAATCTTCTCTTCAATTATCCACCCAAAAGTCAGAAGTGGAGCTGTGGCTCAAGAGGTTGGGCAGTAGCCTTGGGAGAAAAAAGGTCAATGACATCACCCAGGCCCCTGAGTTCAAGTCCTAAGAGACCAACATACACACAAACATACACATGAGTGAACCTACTTCTATGCCCCCAGGACTAGCACAAAAATGAAAATGTGCTCTTACAGCTAGCATTTTCAATAGTTTCCCAGCTGGGAAATTAGGTTTTATTGGAGCATGCCTATACTCATTCTTTTACCTGTTATATTTTGCTGCTTTGGGCTACAGCAGCAGAGTTGATTAGTTGTTGATTAGTGACAGACATTGTATAACCCACAAACCTAAAATATTTCCATTTTGCCCTTTACAAAGTATATTGGCCTTTGATTTAGCTAAAAATATTTAACGGGCTCTGTGGTGGGGGAGGTACCTGCAGGAACTAGTTGGGCCAACCCCTCGGTAAATGAGGATGAATATGGTCTAAGTAGTTTGTGTTTATGAAAATAGAACAGTGAAATTGCTTTAAGAAGAGAGTAGGAGTGTGTAATGGAGAGTGAAGAAGAAAGACTAGAATACATTTGTACATGTGTGAAAATGTCACAGCATAACTCTCCTCCATTACACAACTAATATGTTAATGAAAAGATAAATATATAAAATAAAATACGTGTGAACATGAGGGTGCACACTTGTAATTCTAGCATGTGGGTAATGGAGGCAGGATAATCTAAAGTTTGTGGTCAGCATAGGCTACATAGAGAGTCTGAGGTCAACCTGGCTATAAAAAGACCCTGTTTAAAAGAATAAATGCATCCTCAACATTGTGATTTTTCAAAATTTAGAATTATCCTCATTGTAGTCTAAATTGATATACTTTTACAATTATTTTGTATATTCTTTGGTTGAAGAATTGTTAGGTCACTTATCAGAAGTTTATCATATTCTAGTCAAAGAATATAATCTAAGTTATATGCATAGATAATTTTTTCAAGACTTTCTTCTCTTTCTCTTTTTCTTTCTTTTGTTGGCAGTACCAGGGCTTGAACCCATTCTTGCACTTCTACTCAGTATTTTTGTTCACAGCTGGCATTTTGCTCACAGGTGGCACTTTACCACTTGGGCCACATCACTAGCCTAGCTTTTTGTGGTATTAACTGGAGATAACAGTCTTAAAATTTTTTCTGTCCAGGCTGGCTTAAAATTGCAGTTCTCATTCTCACACCTGTAATTCATATTCAAAATTATATTTGAATACAAAATAAAAAATTAGTATTCACACATTGATGTGTATTTGTTAATTGATGGGAAAGGAGCCAAAAATACTTCTGTTTAGAGGACAAAAAAAGCGTAATAGAAACTACCTTTAAGACACACTCAAGACAAACACTTTGAGACAGGCCTGACTTAGGTGCCTGACCTGGTTGGCTCAGCTCCATTGTCGCTGGTCCAGAATTTGGCTGGTAAGTAGGGGACTTGGAAGCCAGACTGGATGGCCGGACCTACTTCTGCTGATGTGGATTGCTTTAGATTTTGCTATTTTTTCAACTATTCTTTTTATTGCTAAATGAATACAGATTCCTTGAGTTTCATAGAGAAATGAAAACTAGAGATGCCAGACTATTTACAGCACTGTAAAAATATGTCATTAATCCAAACAGTAGCCTTAAAGTCCCTTCTCCTGGGATAGTAATCTGCTTGTTTGTGATTATAGTAGGAAGAAGGAGCCAAGGTGATGTATCCAGTCTGTCTTCCTTCCCCTCCCTTTTTCTCTATATTCCTTGCCCCCAAAATAAAGCTGCTGCCTATTCTTCAGGGAGAATACAAAGATTACTATTAGAAGATATTCATGTTCATGCTAAGAAAAGACTTCTTGATTTTGTTTCTAGGTCCTGTGATTGCCTTGGAGTTTAATGGAGATGGTGCTGTGGAAGAATGCCACCATATTGTAAATGAAACATTCAATGGGACAAAGGTATAAGATTATATCATTGTACCTTGATCTCACCTTTCACTTACTCTTTTTTTCCTCACCATCAACTTGCATTTTTATCTCTGCTGTATCCTTTACTTAACCTAGCACATCATGATATTAAAACATTTGTAAACTTGGGGCTGGGAAGGTGGCTCAGTGGTAGAGTGCTTGCCTTGCATGCATGAGGCCCTGGGTTTCGATTCCTCAGCACCACATAAGCAAAAAGAAAAAAGCCGGAAGTGGCACTATGGCTCAAGTGGTAGAGCACTAGCTAGCCTTGAGCTGAAGAGCTGAGGGACAGTGCCCAGGGCCAGAATTCAGGCCTCACGACCGGACCCCCCCCCCAAAAAAAATAAACATTTGGGAACTAAGCTATGGTTTTTCCTTGCCAAATGGAAAATGTGTAATTGTTTAAAAATAATTAGGAGTCCTCCCCCATGGTATAACCCATGTTTTCACTATATTTCATGTAGATCAAATTTGGGGAGGGGAAGGGAAAAAAATCATTTAAATAGGGATACAGGTTGACCCATTGTAACATTGAAATGTACAAGACACTATGTTGAAAAACGAACTTTACAATTAGGCGGGGATGGGGGTGTGTGAGGGTGGGGGTGGTAAGCATAGTTGTGGAGATGGGAGGGAAGGGATGGTAGGGGAAAAACAAAGGAGGAGGCAACAATGCTTGATAGGAGATGTACTCATTACCTTGTTCATGTAACTGTAACCCCTCTGTACAGTATTTTTACAATAAAAAACTAATTTAAAAATAGGAGGGGCTGGGAAGATGACTCAGTGGTAGAGTGCTTGCCTCGAATGCATGAGGCCCTGGGTTCAATTCCTTAGCACCACATACACAGAAAAAGCCTGAAGTGGGTGCTGTGGCTTAAGGGTTGAACACTAGCCTTGAGCTGAAGAGCTCAGGTACAGCACCCAGGCCCAAAGTTCAAGCTCCACGACCGACCAAAAAAAAAAAATAATTAGGAAGCAGGCAAGTCTATGAGGCTCTTATCTCCAAGCCTCAGGAACTGAAACACACACACACACACACACACACACACACACACACACACACACACACACACACACAGACATAATAATTAGGAAAGAAGAATCTGTTTATTAAAAATATATAGTTTGTGTGTGTGTGTGTGTGTGTGTGTGTGTGTGTGTGTGTGTGTATATATATATATATATAAAGTATATATATATATATATATATATATATATATATATACTTTATATAGAACTGGTTGCCAATGGTACATGTCTTTAATCCTATCTACTCAGGAGGCTGAGATTTGAGAATCAAGGCTCAAAGCCAGACCAGGCAGAAAATTTCATGAGATTCTCATCTCCAATTAACTAGCAGAATGTTGAACTGGAGGTATGGCTCAAATGATAGACACTAAGCTTGAGCTAAAAAAACTGAGAGTACAAAGCCGGGCACTAGTGGCTCACGCCTGTAATCCTAGCTACTCAGGAGGCTGAGCTCTGAGGATCATGGTTCAAAGCCAGCCCAGGCAGGAAAGTCCCTGAGACCCTTATCTCCAATTAACCACCAGAAAACTGGAAGTGGTGCTGTGGCTCAAGCAGTAGAGTGCTTGTCTTGAGCTGAAAAGCTCAGGGACAGCACCCAAGCCCAGAGTTCAAGCCCCACGATCGACAAAAAACAAAACAAAACAAAACAAAAACACAAAAAACAGAGTACAAAACTCTCAATTCAAGCTCTAGTACTGGTACAAAAATCCCAACAACCTCCTATAGTACAGGTTCTCAAGCAAAGAGCTTTCAGGTGTCTGTCTCTTCAAGGCCTTGCTTATTTTAAACAGTGATATGTTGAAAAATTACTTCTAATGTTATATTTTCAGAAAGAGAATCCTGATGTCCAAGATTCAGTTTTACTTGCTCCTTTAATTTATTGCCTAAAATTGAACTTTAGGTCGACCTAGAAATTATTACATTTGGTTACTTCCCAAATATGTTACTGAGGTTGCTACATCTAAGAATTTTAGACTTAAATACTTTTATATATCTTAAATACCATACCTATATAAAGGACTAAGTGAGCATATTATTGACCATTTTTGATGAATACAAGAGAGGAAATGTTTTTGATTTTTGTCTGATCTGCATTGGACTAAATTTGCAAAAAAAAAATATTAGGGTTGTATGGGGGTTTAGTGATCAGAGACTCATACTTACAAGGCTACCACTTGAACTATTTATCTAGCTCTTTCTTTCTGTTAGTTATTTTTCAACTAGGGTCTGATTTTTGCCCAGGGTATGCCTTGGATTATAATCCTCCTACTCCCTTCGATGTAGCTAGGATTACAGGTGTGGACTACCATACCTAGCCTGTTTATTGAAATTGAATCTGGTTAAATTTTTGAACCACTGGCCTTGAATCAAAAATCCTACTAATCTCTCCCTCATGTAGCCTGTTAAACTTGCAGATTTTTAAAGTACATGGTATTCTGTCTTATTTTATCATCACAATTGTCCTGAGATGTCAAATACAAGATTCAGTAGAAAAGAAAATTGGGAAATAAAAAGATTGTATGCTTCAAACTTCTTATAGTTAATTAAAAGTTACCTAATCCAACTTATAAGTGTGGAACTTGAGCCCCAAGAGATTTATTAAATTGTCAACATCAGCTGGCGCTGGTGACTCATGCCTGTAATCCTAGCTACTCAGGAGGCTGAGATCTGAGGATCAGGGTTCAAAGCCAGCCCAGGCAGGAAAGTCCATGAGACTCTTATCTACAATAAACCACTAGAAAACCGGAAGTGGTGCTGTGGCTCAAGCGGTAAAGCACTAGCCTTGAGCTGAAGAGCGCGGGGACAGTGCCCAAGCCCAGGGTTCAAGCCCCACGACCGATAAAAAAAATTGTCAACATCATGAAATTAGTATATGGTAAAGTTGGACTAACACTCAGGGCTCCCCTAATTCTTGGCTCACATTTGTAAAAGTTATTTTTTGTTTTTAGCAGTGTTGGTGTTTTTTCCAGGCACCTATTCTATCACAACATAAATAAAACCCTAATAAAAAGAGCTTGATTTGCATTATAAATGTTGATTGTATAGAAAACCTACAAATTCATATTCAAGGACATGTACACATGATACATACATCCATATATATAATGCTATGTGTGGATAAGCACAGCCAGAATCTAAGGGACAACTTAGGAGAAGGGAAAAGGGGAAAGGAAATAGTGATAGAGGGTGAAAATTTTTGGAGAACATTGCAAGTACATATGAAACAAGATAAGGCCTGAAAGTTGAAGGGGTCAGGGGGAGTATGGAAAACAAACAAACAAACAAATAATACATACTACAGTTTAAATAGTGTAAATGATATACTTGAATTTCTTTTAGAAATAAGCTTGTGACTTTGTTCTGGCCTAGACACATGGGCTTTGAAATTATGAAGCCACAATATTTAATATTTGTTTGTTTTCTATTTAAAATAGATGTTTGTGTCAGAAAAGAAGGACACAGCATGTGGAGATGTAGACAACTTCTACAACTTTGCAGACATTCAGATGGGAGTGTGAAGCAGTGGGACCAAGAACTTGGTATTCAGCAATTTTCAGCTTTTGTATGCAGAGTTTAATAATATGGTTTTGTGCATCATTGATTTTTTACTAATGCTAAAGTCATTAAAGGGTATTTTAATAACTTGATTGAAAAATAATTCATTTAAATTCAGTAGTTTTAATCAGCTTACAAACTACTGAATCCACTTCCAATTAGCTTACAGGTTTTTTTTTTTTCTCTTCATTGGACACTCTTCTTAGAAAATAGAAGTGACTGCCACTTCAAGATTTTAAACCCAATTAAATGTTCTTTGAAATCTAACAATTTAATCTCCAGTTTTCCTCAGTGCTCCATATTTGTTTGAGAATCCATCTCACTGATTATTTTTTCACTTGGATTTATTACTAGTTAATGAATTAGAATGAAAATCTATGCACATTTTTGGGAATACATAATCATTGCTTCCTGCTTGCATTATTATATGCCTAATGAGATTTTAGACATGGAGTTGACATAATACTTTGCACATCTAATTTTGAGGAGCCATACCGGGGATTCAACTCAGGACCTCATGCTTGCCAGGCAGACATTCTACAACTTGAGCCACAACTCACTTCATTATTTGAAATTTTTGGCATTTGAAATCAGGGTATGATGGTATCCACCTGTCATGCTAGCTACTTTTGAGACACAGGCAAGTGTGAACTTGAACCCAGAAGTCCAAGGCCAGCCTGGGCAGCATAGTGAGACCACATCTCAAAAGAAATAAGGATTTCACAAGGAGTTTTGCAAATACCTCTGTCAATGTAGCTATGTAAAAACTACTTCAGAAGGCTTATTGCTATTTGAATAAATTCCACACTATTTAGGTTTCTTTTGGTTGGTACTGGAGTTTGAACACTGGGACTCATACTTGCCAGGTTGATGCTCTTGCTGTTGAGCTAGGCTCCAGCTCAATGTTCTGCTGGCTATTTTTGAGATATGAGACTCCCTATTTGGGATAGGTGTCATGTCCTGCCTGGATGTGCACTTGGGTATGATGTACCCGTGCTAGTCTTCCCAATGTAGCTAGGATAACAGGTGTACACCACCAGGTGTAGCACTTCCTTGAGAAGGGATCTTGTATATTTTTCTGCCTCAGCTTGCCTATGATCCTCCCAATTTTAGTTTCTAAATTAGCTAGGATTATAGAGGTGAGCAACCAGTGCCTGACACTATTTAGTTTTTTTTTTTTTTTAAATACAACCAAATGGCTCTTCTGCTTCCTGAAAAGGAAAGGTGCATGCAATATGAAAACATCAGAAGCCCAGTCACCAACAGTTTTTCCATAGGTGATTATTGTTTGATCAGCTTTTGTGGCTATCAAGAAAATTAGAGCCAGACACAGGGCTAAAACCTATAATCCTAAGTACTGAGAAGGCTGTGATTGTGGGATCAGATCCAAGACAGCTCAGGTGGAAAAGTCCCTGAGACTCTCACCTCTAATTAACCAGGAAAAGTCCACAAGTAGAGCTGTGGCTCCAGTGGTAGAGTGCCAGACTTGAGCAAAATAGCTAAGGGACAGCACCCTGGTCCTGAGTTCAAGCTCCAGAACCCCCCACTCTCTCTCTCTCACACACACACAAATACACACACACAAAACAGAGTTAGAAAAAACGTTGTGACTTTTAGATAAAAAATATCAAAGTTATTTAATCATGATGATGAGCTATGCAGGTTATTAAAAAATCTTGATAGACCTGATTAGACTTGTCATTCATATCAAATACAGTTCAAGTATAATATTTTGATTTCTTCAAGGATTTTTTCCTCAATTCTGTATAATGACAACATTTTGCCAATCAGGGGAGAGAGTACTACTTGTTTAAAACTGCCTGTTCTTGGAGCTTCTCCCTGGCATGCTCATACTCAGTCTGCCGGGGAAACTAACAGGGGGGTGGTCTGATCCCAAGTAAACTATTTGGAAAGTGTCACTAGGTTGATCATATGAACAGGTACTGTGCATGGCATTCTGACAGCTAATGGGGAAAACAGCTTTTAGAGACTGATATTTTAAAGGAGTCCACAATTCTATTTTGATAAAATTATTCTGAAAGTGGACACTTGTAAAACTTCTTTTTATGATGGCTAGTTAAAATGTATTTTCATACTGAAATTATTCTGAGGTTATTTAAAATTGAACCTGTAACTGTTGCATTGAATTGTTGATTCATGGACAGAAATCATCCTTGGTAAGACTTTTGACTTTTGGCAGCTTCTCTGAGCCTGGCTTTGGGCTCACTGTTAGCATTGCACCATTACTGTTAGAAAAAGCATTCTGTTCTATAAAGTTAATATGATTTCATAAGGTGCAAATAAACATTGCTGACAGATTTTGTGTAATTTTAATTATATTGTACACACAATCTTTGCAAATAGTGGCCAGAGGTAACATTTCCCTTAGTTAATTATATCATCGAACACCACTGATCCCAGCTAAAATAATCAGAGTAATTGTTTTGCAAACTAAAATACAATGTTATACAAAGCTATAAATTGAGTTATTAATTTTTTCTATGGTATTTTAGCAAAAAACCTCAGGAATAGAACACATAACAGAAACATTGAGTTCCAATTTATTTACTAAATTTAGTATCTGTTAAGAAAAACATAAAATGTTGTATACTTTAGTTAGAATGAGTTAAACCCGAGTGTGAGTTGTCTTTAAAGTTAGTCATTTGGCTTCTAAATGTTTGATAGATTTTTATAATTAAGTCATGCTATGATGATTTTCTGTAATTCTATATGTCAGTAGCAAAAATCAGAATGTATGACATTTCTGAATAGCTTTTGAATTATAAAAAATGATTAGCAATGAATACTTAATGATTTTATGATGATATAGATGTTTAAAATCCTATTTTGTTCTTTTATAATAGTGGTACTGTTTTTTTATTATAAGTCCATGTATGTATGTAGCTTTCATATGTAAATTATATAGTGTTTATAAAATGTAATTTGTAATAAATATAAAAATGAAAATGGCTTAATTCTAATTTTTGAACAGCACTTAATTCTAATTTTTGAACAGCACTTCTATGACATACATTGACTCTAACATGTGCCAAAATTTGACAATTTTTTTTGTGCTAGCCCTGGGGCTTGAACTAAGGGCCTAAGTACTATCCCTGAGCTTCTTTTTCTCAAGGCTAGAGCTCTACTGCGTAATGCACAGAACCATTTCCAGGATTGTTCCCCCAGGGGTAGTTTATTGGATATAGAAATCACATAGACTTTCCTGCTCATGCTGGCTTTGAATCACCATCCTCAGATCTCAATCTCCTCAGTAGCTATGATTACAGGCATGAGCCACCAGGTTGGCAAATATTCCAAGGCTTGATTATTGAATGTTTTTTAATGTTAAAAGCAGAATAAATGCTCTAGTCTATGTCTTCTACTAATGAGAAATGAGCTAAATGGGTGTGTGTATGAGAGAGAGACAGAGACAGAGAAAGAGGAGATAGAGAGACAGAGAGACAGAGAGTGACTGAGATAGAATCACACACAGAGATAGAGGGGGAGAGAGAAGGAAGGAGAGAAAGATATCGAAGAGGTACAAATTAAGTAAACAAAACACCTATTTCCAAGCACTGATGGCTCACACCTGTAATCCAAGCTGCTCAGGAGGCTGAGGTTGAGGACTGAGGTTTGAAGCCAGCCTGCGCAGAAAAGTCTGTGAGATTCTTATCTTTTGTTAACCAGAACAAAGCCATAAGTGAACTCAGAGCTCAAGTGGTAGCAAAGATGCTAAAGGCCAGCACCCAGATCCTTAGTTCAAACAGCACACACACACACACACACACACACACACACACACACACACACACACACACAACACACACACACACACACACACACACACACATACAATACATCTCTGAAGAAACCCCATACATAGTTCAATTAACATGTGCTAATGACTGTGTGAGAGAAAAGAATTTGCCTAAGACTCCACATGCTTCCTAGTAATGCCAGACAAAAAGATTTAGATCTAAGAGACTTCCAATATGAGGTTTCCTTTGCAAAAAAACAAAAGTCACATTTCTCTTTGAGGGAATACTTGCTAAGATAAGGCATCTTTCTCATCTATATTTAAAACAAGAATTATGCTGAGAAAATTTGTGTCCCCCTTCTCCCTCTCCTAGCCCATAAAGCAAAAATATTGTAAGTACAGAAGGTTTTGTTTTGTAAATAACATGGATTGTTTTTTATTTCCGCTTATAAAGGTTCTACATGTACATTGAGAACATTTGGCGCGCGCACTGGGAAAAACAGAACTCACAGCACTCCAATAAAATGACTTCTTATTGGCTAATTCTTGGTGTCTACAATTTGTTTTTCTTAGATGAGATATTTTAACAGTTCTCTTACAGAAAGAAAATGGGACACATAAACACATTAAAGGGAATTGTCAGATGTTTGTTTTTTGCTATTCTTGGCCTTGAACTCAGGGCCTGGGCACTGTCTTTGAGCTTTTTTGCTCAAGGCTACCACTTAAACCACAACTCCACTTCTGGCCTCGTGCTGGTCTATTGGACATAAGAGTCTCATGTACTTTCCTGCTTGGAATGGTTTAGAATCAGGGTACTCAGATCTCAGCTCCTGAGTAGCTAGGATTCAGAGGCAGAAATCACCTGTGCCTGGCTCATACATTAAAGTTTGAGAGGCTCATCCTATTCTGTTAAGTCTTCAAGATCCAGAAGCAAGCTTTATTACAAACCCTTTCTAGAAACAGTTTTTCATTCAAAATATAACAATAAAAAAAGCTAAAGCTCATGTGAAGTAGAGCACTGTGCTATAGTTTGGATCTGGGATGGTCTGCAAAGTTCCATGTGTTAAAAGTATTGTCACCAGTCTGTGAACTGTTGGGAAGTGTGGAGGCGATTAGCTCATTGGGAGTGTGCTCATCCTGTCTTACTCCACTTCTGAGCCACCATGAGGTGAGATATTTGGCTTCACTTTACACTGCCTCAGTCTGTGTAGAAAAGTCCATGCAATACAAATCTCCCAACTAACCAGTAAAAATTTCATGTCACAAGTGGCAAAGTAGTTAGCTGATCAAGAGTGGACCGAGACCTCAGAAACAGTGGATCAAAAGAAACCTTTTCTCCAAAAGTTGAGCTAGGCAGATAAACCCAGAGCCTGATTGCTGTCCCTTAGCTGGTTCACTCAAAGCTAACACTCTACTATTTGATCCTTAACTCCAATTCTATTCTGTGGTTGGTTAATCAGTGATAAGATTGTCATAGACGTTCCTGCCCAGGCTGGCTTGAAACCACCATCCTCCGATCTCGGCCTCCTGAGTAGCTAGGATTTCAGGTATGAACCACTGGCTCCCATTTCTGTGCATTGTTTTTTTTTTGAACAGAGGATGAAAAGCCCATTCCCTGCACAGTGGGACCAGCACCATCAGCATCATCTAGAAACTGGTTGGATCTACTCCAGATCTGTTCACTACACATTCACTAAAACATATTCATATAACTCATGTGCACATTAAAGGTTGAGAAATCCATCCTCTATTGTTAGTCTCGAAGCTCTAGAATCAGGATTCAGAAATCTATATTCCTGAGATTTGGATCCAGTAATATCTATATTTAATAATTTGTTAATGAAATTATTCACAACCCAGTACTTCATTATACTAAACCAGACTTTAAACTTGTGTAATTCCTCTATTCATATATTTTTCTTGATTGGTTTTGGAATGAAAAAAAATCCTAAATATGAAGCTTCTGTTTCCTTATTTTCTATTGAAGTAGCAAATTTCCCCCTAAGATTCTGGGGAAACTGAGGAACATCTGGTAGTGGTCACTCAAAATAGATTTTTTTTTCTGGCTTAAATTCTCATCTAATGTGTTTTCATATATAAGCTTGTTTTCATTCACTTGGAAAACACTGCACTAAGCCAAAATGTGTTAATGCTAGGACAGAAGTAAAATAAAAAGCAGTCAGCTGATTGTTGTGGGCTTGTGGGGAGGAATGTGAGCCATTTGGGCCACTCAATCACCTCAGATATTATTATCCTTTATTTACATCTGCCCAATTCAAGCTTAGGTACTACCAATAAATTGTAAAGAATTAGCCTCAAAAGTGTTCACTGTGGCTTCAATGAACTTTTAGGGAAGGGTGCTTTTCTTTGGAGTCTTGCATATGATGATTAAAAATGACTTTTTTCTTTCTGTGAAAGATACACAAAATTTAAAAGTAAAATCTTATATTTACCCTTTTAATTTAGATTTCCTTTCTGTTTCCTCAGTATAAATATATTGCTATCTCCTTTGGTTGGCAGTAATGTGGTTTTGAGTTCCTTACCTTATGCTTCTACTGCTGAACTATTCCTCCAGCCCTCTCATGTCCTAGTTTTCTTTCAGATCAGGTCCCTGAAGCACAATGGTTTTTAGGCTTCCCTTCACTGTCCTTTCTACCCGTTTCCAGACAACCTACATATTCCCTCTTCAAATCTCTCTTCAAATATACACTCAGGAGTGG